GGCTCGGATCCCCACCAAAAATGCTAATTAAGGTTGAAAACCGGCCTTTTATTGGAAAACCTGTATGGATTTGCCCATGCACCGGACCAAAACCTGATATTGACACAGACAGATAGAACTCGACGAGCTCTATCGAATGCATACCTTTTAATCTGATTTATACTTTGAGATCCTCTCCAAAAATACTAATCTACGCTGAAAACCGGTCTTTTTTTTGGAAAACCTGTATGGATTCACCCATGCACCGGACCAAAACTTGATAATGACAGATACAGATAGAACTCGCCGAGCTCTATCGAATGGACACCTTTTGAACTCGATTCCACACTAGGATCCCCTCCGAAAGGGCAAATCCAGATTTTTGTTCAAGATTTATTACAAAGTTTATTGTTTTTCTATTTTGTTTCACTGATTGATCGAGTGAAACGATCCAATAAGTTTTTTTTTCTTAACTCTACATATATATGTATGTTATTAATGCACTTATCTATATATACATATTGCTCCCTCTTTCGTCCCTTCCTCTCCATTGAACTAAATCAGTAACGTATCAATTTTTTTTGCTTTCCTTCGTACAGTACATATCTGCAGGGTTTCCAATAGAAATCTGAAACAAAGTATATTTGGGTATTCGTTTCCATTGAAACAGTATTTGCTGATACTTTGTCTTAAATATCAAAGTACCTCAAAGTACCACAACATAAATTTGCTTAATAAAAATCAAAGAACCAGTTAATTAAATACACATATATGGAATGAGAATATGCTCTTCGATTAGGGAGGGGCTGAGGATCTGATCTCCACCACAAATCGAAACTACGTCCGATTTCTGGGAAATTTTCCAACACTTTCCATCAAATTTTTGAAAACTTCATGGTAAATTCTGGTAGAAAGTCGAATAAAAACACTTTCTGCCAAAATTTTCAGACTTTTCGAAATTTTAACCCTTCCACTTTTCAAAACAATCGGTAATCATGAATTAGATCTAAATATATGATAAAAATAAATGAAGAAAGTATTAGAAAAAATAATTTTGAAAATCTTAAAAGATAAAAAGAAATTTCAATGCTAAATTCAATGAGGCGAAACGAAAATTTCTTTTTGCTCCCTCTCATCTACCGACATAATCAATATACAAGCGGAAGACGAGTAACTTCTAAATAATAGCATAAGAAATAAGTAGAGTGCTTTTTTATTTTACAAAGTACCATCAAGGTACCGTATGTTTTCCAGCAAAGTGCAAAACACAGTACTTTTTCAAAATCGTAAGTACCTCGGGTATTTTGCTTTTGCTTGAGGTACTTAATATTGGAAACACTGGGATGAGAGATTTCCGTTCTTCTATACGATTATAATATTCTTTTTTTAATAAGTGCGACATATCTCAATGAATATTTGAATATTCGAACAAACATTATAATATCAACAACTGATCTCTTCAATGAAGTTATGATTGATCAGTTAAATTTCATGATCATCTCGATATGAGAAAAAACATACAAACTAGTTTATTCATACACTCTTTTAGTCAACTCTCTATAAATGATTGGCAGGAGGCGTTTGAGGTCATTTTCTTCAATGCTTAAACTCTTCAAGCAAAACCACTTTCTGATTAACTTTTTTGATGCTCTCCATGTCTTAAGTGGTTGACTGCCATATAATTCGCAATCAAAACATGTACTCATAAAACTAGTGAAGAAGTACAAGAAATAATGTTTTCGATTGTCAGACAAATATAATTCAGTAATTATGACCTAATTGATTAATACAAATAGTTTATGATCTTTTATCATGATTAAAATCATCATACAGTTTTTTTTCCTTATTATACGACAAAAAAATACGATAAATACTAAAATCGTCGATATGTTGACCAAGCCATTCCAAAAGCACGACCAAATTGTTCAGCTTCTTGATTAAGTTTTATTCTTTTCAATGAATTTTCACGTTCATAATTATATTTGGTATGAATATTCGACCAATTTTTATTAAAATGGGAAGTGTATTTTTTAGGATGAAACATTCGATGTTGATTTGAACGTTGAAATGCATTATCATATCTGATTTCATCAAGATTTCGTTTCGTTGGTCGACGATGTGGTAAGTGCTGGAAATAAGATTTTTTAGTTATAATTTTTTTTAAGTCTTTTAAAATTTTCTCTCATACCTGATTTATATTTGATGGATTATGAATTTCTAATGGTTCAATATTTTGATTATCAACTAAATGATTGTTAGATGATGATGAGTGAATATCAGATTCAGTTATATTTTGATTTCCAAGTAAATCATCATTACATGATGTTTGAACATCACATTCAGTTATATTTTGTCTTTCATGTAAATTTGACATAAGTTTAATAAGATGACATGATATAACTCTATGACCTGTTGGTGTAAAATGGATACCATCGGTACTCCTAATATTTGAATGATTTTTGGAAATGATTTAAATATTATGTATTACCTTCGTAGAAAAAAAATGTTATAATAATTTGTTTTCTTTTTAGAAAAACGAAATTTAATTTTGTATAAATTTAGTTTAATATT